ATCAGGTGGCCAAAGTATTGGAGCTTCAGTTTCAGCATCAGTCCTTCCAACGAATATTCAGGACTGACTTCCTTTAGGATTGACTGGTTTGACCTCCTTGCAGTCCAAGGGACTCTCAAGAGTCTTTTCCAACACCACAATTCAAAAGCATCAATTCTTTGGTGTTCAGCCTTCTTTATGGTCCAACTCTCACATCTGCACATGACTCCTGGGAGAACCATAGATTTGACTATATGGACCTTTGTCAGCAAAGTGATGTCTCTGTTTTTTAATATCTTGTCTAGGTTTGTCATAGCTTTTCTTCCAAGGAGCAAGTGTCTTTTAATTTTATGGCTGCAGTCACTATCCACAGTGAATTTGGAACCCAAGAACATAAAGTCTATCTTGGCTAAATGTTCTCAAACGCTCCCCTAGTTTGATCCTCACTTATTATCCATACATTCTATCATAGCATTATCCAATGCTATATGCAATGCATTTTCTATATTTGCATAATTACAAGTTTTCTTACCCCATTTTGTTGTAATCATATTGAGGCCTGGTCTGTGTCTTCTGCTTTGCATCTCTCACAATCCTCTATGAGGCTCAGAATAGGTATCTTATAAATTTAAGAAAACGGTAAATTAAAACTTCAACTAAGGGGTCAAAAGAGACTTCCCAGGTGTCACTAGTGGCAAAGCACCCATCTGCCCATGCAGGAGACATAAGAGACTTGGGTTTGACCCCTGGGTTGGGAAGATACCCTGGAGGAAGACATGGCCAGCCACTCCAGTATTCTTGCCTGAAGAATCCCATGGACAGAGGAGCCTGGTGGGCTACAGTCTAGAGCCTTGCAGACAGTAGGACACAACGTAGCCGTGTGTTGCTCCTTAGAGTAGGAGTGACTTAGCACAGCACATCACAATGGGTCAAAGTATGGTTGCTTCAGGAACCAACGTGAAGTTTGAGAGGCTATAGTGCAGAATGTCAAAATCAAGACAGATGACAGACTTTAGGCTCATTTCAAGGTTCCGTGGAAGCTCCCAGGAGGCGGCCTGAAGGAGTGAGTCTGTGCAGAGACTTCTCTGGAGAAACTGGCCTCTGTGCCGATCTAGAGCCCAGCCCTCACGAGCCAGGTTGGGGGTTACATTCTCACCGCAACCACCAGAGTGGCTCCAAGGAGACTGCAGTCTCACCTAAGTTTGTGGGAAGAGCAGGAGCGGCAACTTAGCCTAGATTCTCCACCTACCTGAGGCACCTAGAGGGGAAAGGGCATGCCTGGGGCCGCAGGAGAAGGAGAGGCGGGCGATGGGGATGCTGCTGGGCTGGGCTGGGCTGGGCAGCGACCCGCTTCCCCTCCACTTGTGAAGCACAGCCCGTGGATCTGGGGTTCTTGGGGAATCACAGGAGGGGTGTCAGCCAGTGGACAGTGTGAAAGGGGTCCTGGTCCCTCTTGGAAGGTTCGGGAACACCAACGGACAGACCAAGTGGGTGAAGTGGAGTAAACCTCAGGAAATACATGGGGAAGGGGCTGGTGGAGGGGCAACTTGAGAGCAAGGCCTGCTGGCAGCTCTCTGGAGTCTTCACTGGGGCAACGGAGACCAAGGACCCGGCAAAGAACCCCTGGAATAAAAGTCCCCCTGAAGCACCTGCTGGTCTCAGAGACCGTGGAGCATCCACCGCCAGCACCGCACGGAGTACCTTCTGAACCCTGACTCTCAGGCAGGAGGCTAGAAGGGTAGGGGGGCGGAGTAGAGGGGAAAAGAAGGGGGAACTCAAGTCATTTCCAAGACAGCCTGAAGTCCACCTAGCAGACGGAGAAAGAAGATTCAATTCTGAAATGTACTAAAACTTCATGGTTCTTATGACTATTTAGTATAGGTGTTTAAAATATGACCTTAAGACTATTATTACTCAAGGCTGAGCAGAAAAGACTTGGAGCCTGCTGGAGATTTATCCCAGCTTTTACCCCCCACTCCATTAAATATGTTGACAGGCACAGTGGGTGGGGACAAGATGTTTAACTGATTATAACTCATGAGTTTTTCAGTATTCCTCTTAATTAAATGCTTGCAGATTAATTTATTCTGTGCTCAAAATCCTGTGAAAATCAAATCTAAGTAAAATATCTTCTAACAATAAAGTTTTAGAACTTGTTGTAAGTTCAGTTAAATGAAACTTGCATTAGAACTCTCCTTCAGATTATAGTCTGTAATTCCTATGTCAGCTCTCTATTACCTATAAGGATGATTATTTTTTGTTTGTTTGTTCAGTCACCAAGTTATGAATGACTCTTTGTGACCCCATGGACTGTAGCATGTCAGGATTCCCTGTCCTTCACTATCTCCCAGAGTTTGTCCAATTTCTTGTCCATCGAATCGATGATGCCATACAACCATCTCAACCTCTGCCACCCCTTTCTCCTCCCACCTTCAGTCTTCCCCAGCATCAGGGTCTTTTCCAGTGAGCCAGCTCTTTGCATCAGGTGGCCAAAGTATTAGAGCTTTAGCTTCAGCCTCAGTCCTTCCAATCAATATTCAGGGTTAATTTCCTTTAGGATTGACCTCTTTGATCTCCTCGATATTGAAGGGACTCTCAAGAGTCTTCTCCAGCACCGCAATGCAAAAGCATCAGTTCTTCAGTGGTCTACTTTCTTTCTGGTCCATCTCTCACATCCATACATGACTACTGGAAAGATCATAGCCTTGACTATTATGGACCTTTGTTGGCAAAGTGATGTCTTTGTATTTTAATATGCTGTCTAGGTTTGTCATAGTTTTCCTGCCAAGAAGCAATCACCTTAATTTCATGGCTGCAGTCACCATCTGCAGGGATTTTAGAGCCCAAGAAGAGGAATTCTATATTATAACAAACAAATCCATTTGATTTCATTTTACTTTGTCTACTCATCCAGTTTTTTTATAACACATACCTGCTCAGCCCTGTGCAGGGATTGTCGGAAACTCTAAGATTGTGATATGTTCCCTCTTTTTATGGAGCTTGAAGTACTTTTGGATTAACAAAATTGTATGAAAGTAATCCAAGTAGAGTAAAATATAAGTACAATAGGGTTCAGTCGAGGGTCTAAACATATGGTGCCTAAGTGGCTGGGGGCACAGATTAAAATCGGGTAAATTTACCTGAAAATAGACACAAAAAGAGCATTTTGGGCTTTGGATTAGATCAGGATAAATTCAGTATGAACATTTTAGTCAGCTTACAATGGTCATCATTAATAAGTTCATTCAAAAATTAATTTCCAAGCACCAAACATGGTGCAGGCATCGTGCTGTGGTTGAGATATGCACTGTTGAATAAAACAGTTTCCCTTCTCTCACGAAGAGGGAGACTCCAGCCTAACATGCTGTCCCAGCAAATCTCTCACTATGGAAAGTTGTATGATTTGTCAGTCACTCCATATGAATACACTTTCTAAATAATTTCTCTCAATGATGACAGTGCTACTTGATTCTGACATGAGAGAATAATTCCTTTTGTTACTACATTTTAATTACAGCCAACACTTATGGAGTAGTTATTTATATATCAAGCAATGTTATGAGCATCTGATGTGTCTTAATCTTTAAAAAGCCCTGCACTGCAGGTACTATTACTAACCCCATTTTGTAGATCAGAAGACCTAGACACAAAAAGTAAATGTAACCTGCTCACTACCTTAGCTGGGATTCAAACCCAGCTTTATCAATATGGGAGCCTTTGATGAAATTTAAAAAGCAGTCATTTAGGCATGGAGTTCATTGGGAAAATTAGACATGTTAGTAATAGCAATAAACAGGAATGCACTAAATTATCAATTAAAAAGAGGAAGTGTCCCATTGCATTTTAAAAACCAGATTGTAGAATTGCTTTGGAATTTAGACACCAGTCTTTCTAAGCTTCAAAACCGTCTGTGAAAGAGATCTGAGCCCATCTGCCCTGGAAACCTGGGGATCTTTCAGCAAGCACAGACACACAATGTGGATGACGGTGTTGGCAAAACTGTGTAAGTGCTGAACACGTGTCAGTTTCTGTTAGCGCCGTTTGTTCATTTGAACTTCATTAAAGAGCAACAACCATCACTCTTATAAAGCGTTATATTTCTTTTTGTTACTTGGATTAAATGAATTCTATATATAATTCACTTAATGAGTTCTCTAATTAGGTGTCAAAATTTTTTTTTACTTGAGAGTCAGGAAGAAAAGTAAAAGAAAGTGAAGAAGCTAGAAGCCAGGGCTTGTTGTTGGACAGATTTCACAGTTTATACTAGAATTGTGGTGAGCAGGAGAGGGGACCCTCTATTCTCCTCAGAAGCCTCTGCAGAGAGAGGCGTCTGCACCGTTTGTGTGTCTAGGGATTATGTCCTTGTTCTTTAGTCGCTGAGTCGTGTCCAGCTCTTGGCGAGCCCGTGGACTATAGCCCGCCAGGCTCCTCTGTCCATGGGATTTCCCAGGCAAGAATACTGGAGTGGGTTGCCATTTCCTTCTCCAGGGTACCCTCCTGACCCAGGGATCAAACTCGCATCTCCTGCACTGGCAGGCAGATTCTTTACCCTCTGAGCCACCAGGGAAGCCGCTAGGGATTATGGGGAGTTGCCAAAAGCGGAGAAGGCAGATCGCTGTTTCCAAGTAGAACAGAGTGTAATTAGCAGCGCAGGATGGCATAAACCATATCTGGGAATTAAGTCCCCAAACAAATAGTTTGTGTCTAGATTTGATCCCAATAGCAGTCTCTCTCTTTGAAAAAAATTGCTATGATATTCAGTGTCACATATGTCTGTTGGTGATAATCTGAGGCAGCCACTCTACGTGGCAAGGAGCCGATGTCTAGCGGAATTCCAGGCTTGCTGTGACGGCACTTGCATGCACCTCACAGGCAGAATGATGGCATCCTGGGTCACCGTTCAGCTTACAGCCCTGAACCTGAGCCCGTACTGCCCCTCCCAAGATTCCACGTGAGGATGGCGCGGGGTGTCCTGTCATCTGACTGTATGTGACACAGGTCTGTTCCCCGTCCTTGAACAGGAGTCCACTGTGAAGAGGCCGTGGACGAGTGCTCCTCCAGCCCTTGCCGCAACGGCGGCACTTGTGAGAACTCGCCTGACGGTTACGCTTGCCACTGCCCGTTGGATCCCCGTTCTGGAGCCTTCTATGGAGGCAGGGACTGCTCCGATCCTCTCCTGGGCTGTGCCGATCGTCCGTGTCTAAACAACGGGACGTGCGTCCCCCACGTCCACGACGGCCGGCACGGATTCGACTGCCTGTGCCCCGCTGGCCACACCGGGTCACGGTGTGGAACCGTCACCACGCTGTCCTTCGACGGCAGCGGCTTCCTGTGGGTCCCGAGTGGCCCAGCTCCGGCCCGGGACTCAGGCTGTACCGTGGCCCTCAGGTTCCAGACCGTCCAGCCGGCGGCCCTGCTGCTCTTCCGGGGTGACCGGGATGCGTTTGTGATGCTGGAGGTGCTGGCCGGCTTCGTCCACTTGACCCTTCAAGTCGGCGATCGGCCGAAGGTGGTCCTGCTCATCCCCCAGGAGACCAGCGACGGAGGGTGGCACGCCGTGGAGGCGACGTTTGCAGAGGCGGTGACCCTCGTCCTAGGCGACGACGCTTGCGCGGGGGCGTGCATCGCTAGCGCTCCTTCTCCGTTTGAACGCGATGGGCCTTCAGCGTGCGCGCTCCAGAATTCCTTTCTGGGGGGCTTGCCAGAGGGAAGCGCCCGCAGTGGTGATGCTCCGCTTCGCGTCTATGAGATACCATCCGCACCTTCGCTCGTAGGCTGCCTCCAAGACGTGCAGCTGGACTCGAATGCCATCACCGCGGAGAACATCTCATCCGACGCGTCTCTGAATGTCAGGGCGGGCTGCACCCGAAAGGACTGGTGTGAGAGCCAGCCTTGTCACAACAGAGGACGCTGCCTCAACCTGTGGCTCGGTCACCGCTGTGAGTGCCACCGGCCCTACCGCGGCCGCAGCTGTCACGGAGGTGAGGGGGCCGGGGCGGGGGCGGGGGCTCAACGGCCAGCGTGCTCCTGACGGTGATGACCCCGCAGGCCCTGCTGCTGGCTGCCCGCTGACGGGAAACGGAGGCGGCTGGGGGTGTGCACTAGTTCCAACTCAGTGAGTGCGTCCCACCGGGGTTTCACCCACGCAGAGAAGCGAAAACCAAGCCCATAGCTCCCATCCAAGTGGGTTTCCTTCTCGGTGTTTACAAAATGCTGCTACAATCTTATCATTTGTGGTGTATCGGAAATTAATTGTAAATCTTATTTGAAAGGGAAGCAGTCTTTTGGAAGAATAGGTCATGAAACTAGTCAATACCAAGTCCTAGCTCAATGGCTGGGGCGTAGCAGGTTCCTAAGACATAGTCACTTTCTTGCCCTCCTCTCTACGCAGCTCACACTTGCTCCAAGATCGTGCCTCAGTTTACTACTTTTATAAACCGCCAATTTTATTCAAAGGTGTATTTTTAAGAGTTGCATTGGAGAAAACAGGTATTCTACCTATGTGTCCAAGAAAGAAAATATTTTTAAAAAGTAACAACATGGAAACTGGGTAGATGCCATAAACTAATTGCTTTAATTTCTCCAGCAGATGAGTTTGAAATGCACTTCAAAAGCCTTACTTCCGACATCGTTCCGAAGATTGCTGTTGATAGTGATCAATACATAGCTGTTTCTTTTTATTATGATTCTTTTGCACTGAAAATGTCGGAAAGGCAGTTGCAAGACTGCTTTGAAGTGCAGCTGTAATTCACCCCATGATTTGAGAGTAACTTGAAAAAGGACGACATCTGGTAAATAGTCTTCTGTGCTTTATATGAAGTAAAATTGAAACCAGCCTTAGTCTATACCCTACTCCATGTATGAAGGGCTGAGAATTATTAGACACTATTCATGGGTCTCCCCCTGACCACAATATTCATTACAAATCACGGACCTGCTTGACAATGAGGTCTGGCATCTACTAGCTCTAAGTAATATTTTAAATGGAATGGCAAGTTGTTTTGAGATTTTTTTAAGGAGAAAGGGGGAAATTATACTGCAGCAATGTTCAGTTTTTGAAGAAAAATCTAATTGACCCAAGGCAATATTTTTACTACATATACAAAATAACAAACAGATGCTGAGTCATTTTGACCAGCTTCCAAGTGCGGTGACCCACGAGGTTACTACTGACTGCAGTGATGCTAACTGTCCTGGTAAATAGATTCAAGAGATGCCAGTCTTGTGGGTTCTGGTTTGCTTTATTTTTTCCAACTTGGAAAACTCACAGTCTTGAAACCCAGTTCCTGAGTTGGTTACCTGTCCCCTGTCTTCCTCCAAGTTCCTTCTCCTCGCCCCCTGCTGCCCCCACCGCTCCACTATTTGAAACTGGTTAATCCTCATCAAAAAGCTTCAGAAGATATCTCCTTAGGGAGTAAGTTCTGTAAAGACTTCTCTTTCTGAAATTCTTGGTATAAGTTTAAGAAAAGTTATATTTTGATATCATCTCAATCATAAATTCAAAGCATCCTTGTGTGCATTCTGTCACTCAGTCATGTCCAACTGTTGGTGACCCTATGAACTGTAGCCCACAAGGCTCTTCTGTCCATGAGATTCTCCAGGCAAGAATACTAGAGTGAGTTGCCATGCCCTCCTCCAAGGGATCTTCCTGACCCAGGGATCAAACCCACATCTCTTAAGTCTTCTACATTGGCAGGCAGGTTCTTTACTACTAGCGACACCTGGGAAGCCCCAAAGTGTCCTGTATTTGCTGTCATCTTTGAGGAATGTTTGTTGGGGAGTTTATTCCCATCACAGAAGATGCTTTCAAGCTATATGGGACAACCTGGAATCTTTCCGTCATTGTACATAGATGGTCAGGAGGGAGGAGATGTGCAAAAAGTACAAGGTGAACTTCACCCAGGTCTTGATCCCGGCTCAGGGTTTCCCAAACATGGTACCCAGTGAAAGACAGACTGGATGGAGGATTTAACTGGCTGACTACACATGGAAGACAGAGGGGCTTCCTATATTGTAAAAGCTGATCTTTTAAAAATAATCAAGTGTCTCAATAAGAAGAGTTCAGAGGAAATTTTCTCAAAACTTGTCTGCAAGTGTCTATGATTCCTTATGGCCTTATTTTTTGATGCTCCATGTCAGTGTTATCTTGTCATCCTGGCTGTGTCCAGGAACAGGGAGCTTCCAAGATACTGTTCAGTATAACGTATCCCTGATCTCATTCCTTCTAGAGGATGTTTCACTAACAAAGGCGATTGATATGTTTTCTCTTCAGTCATACCTATAAACTTTGAGACTCTTACCCTCTTGGAATTAGAGCTTCTTAGACGTAGGATGGGCTTCACTCCATGGCTGAATTTTTTACAGTTGTGCGTGCCAAGTGTAGTGGCCCAGAACTCTGCTTATGCACTGTCAGGAGTGAGAACGCATTCATCCTCCGTCTTCCCAGAAATCCCCTAAAAGTTGTTTCTTGGTCCTGAAATAATGTAGGATGACCTACCCTTCCATTCATTGGCTGCATTGTAACTCTTGAAGCCAATGCCAATCTTGCTTATGTGTGTTCTCTGTGAGAACACAAATATTTGGAGAAATGTCTTGTACTATCCAGGCCATCATGCCTGTCATGCTAAACACACCCAGCTTCTTCCAATGCTTTCCTTATGGGCTCGTTTTCAGATGCTCCGCTGGCTGCTTGCTTGGGAATAAATGTGCTTATCTGGCTCCTAGATGAGCCTGAGAGTGCAGAGGGCCACAGGACTGTGACCTTCTCATTCTGGAGAACGTTCTTCTGTTCTGCAGCCTAGGACCACATTGGCCTTCGGGTAGCTGCATTCTGCGATAGGCTCACTTTGAGTTGTTCTCACTGATGGTGCCGCAGAGTTCTGCTTCTTCCACTGAAACCAGTGAAGTGTGTTTGGACCCAAGTGGCTTTTATTTATTCTCAATAAATTTCTTCTTGTTGCAGTCCATCAATCATTAAAACTTGAAATTATTTTTCAGCCCGTATTTGTCATCTCTCTCCAGGACACATCAACAACACATATAAGAATCATTCTTTCCATGTCCCCAGACGAGTCATCTATGGGGTCAGGTGCTTCTAAAATCATGTACTAAATCATGTGCTCTGACTATGTGTTTGTGACTTCTGAAGACAAATAGGACTGCTGAAGAGTCAAGCTTCTGAGAGAAAGAAACTGCTCTGTGTTCTGTCTTTTTAATCTGGATCCACAAAGTGATGCTGTAGGTGTCCCAGGATGACCAGCGGGGACCACCCCTGAGCTGAGCGATTCTTAGTGCATACTCCCAAACCTCGGGGCCTTCAAGAGCCAGCTTTCCTTATTAAACATTTTATCTCATATGAAAGTGCTGCTGTGTGTTCAGAGATGTTAGCCTCTTCAAACAGACTGTTATATCTAATGGTGTGCTTTGAAAGCCACCTGTAGCTCCCTGGAGCAGGTGGTCTCCAAATGCAGATTCAAGCTGTAATGATCCTGTAAGAAATCAAGGCAGAATTCTGAAAATGCAGCCTTTTATGCAGGAGGTCTTCAAACATGATGGTCGCCTGAGCAAGTTTCACTGTAGTTCAGCTAAACTAAAATATGTCCCTCCTTTGTTCAAACTTCAGTGGAACCATATGACAACATTTGAATATATTGGAAGATGCCATTTTTCTGGGTAGGATGGGGATGTGAAGACCTGAAGATGGTGATATCTTGAAGGTGATGCCCTTGGCAAGTGCATCCGTGATTTCCAGGTTGCCAATTCTTCAGTCAGTGTTCGGTCCTCACCTGCCCTGACTGCTCAGCAACCCTTACCATAGCTGCATACACCCTCTTGCTGAAAGGTTTCCCTGGTGGCTCAGCTAGTAGAGAACCCGCCTGCAATGCAGGAGACCCCGGTTCAATTCCTGTTACAGGAAGGTCAGCTGGAGAAGGGAAAGGCTCCCCACTCCAGTATTCTGGCCTGGAGAATTCCTGGGCTGTATAGTCCATGGGGTCACAAAGAGTCGGACATGACTGACTGGCTTTCACTTTCACTTTTCTTTTCCTCCTGAAAACCCTCCCCTCCCTAGGCTTGGGGGGCAGCACTCCCTGGGTTCTCTTTCTGCCTTACTCATTTACTGGCTCCTCTCACCTCCACACGTCTTCTGCTTAAGGGTTCAGTTCTTGGACCTCTTCTCTCTCTAGATTCATGTTCTTGGTGATCGCATCCAGTCTTGTGGCTTTAAAAGCCATGTGTACACTGGAAAATCCAAAATTACTATGGCTCGCACCAAATATCTTCCCTGAATCTCTGTATCTATCTGTTGACTAGACATTTCCACCTGAATATCTAATAGGACATCTTAAATTTAATATGGAATCCCATTCCCACCCACCCACCCAAAGCAATTCCTCCTGTTTTTCTTCTTCATCTCTGCAAATGGAAACTCAATGCTTCTAGTTACTTGGACCAAATGCCTTGGAGATGAACTTGCCCTAGAAGATCCTGCTGGCTCTACCAAAACATTTCCAGAATCTGATCACTTCTCCCCATCTCCACCATGACCACTGATCCAAGCCACCATCATTTCTTTCCTGCATTTCTGCAATGATACTTTCTTTGGGGTTTTGCTCAAATAACACCTTCTCAGAGCTCTTCCCCGACAACTCCATTTAAAATGATGGCTCTGCTCCCACCCCCAGCTCTCCCTAGTCCCATTGTCTGCTTGACTTATTTTATACCAAAGAACCTGTCATCGATGGATGTACCACATAACCTCTACCCAGCTGGAATATAAGCTTTAGAAGTACAAAAACTTTTGTTTCTACTGTATCATCAATGCTTTTGAAGGTCAGCGTCCATTCATTTTCATGCTCCTTCAAGGGTTTTCTTGTGGTGAGGTACATCCATAGTGTTACCACGCCAGCGCATTAGAAAGCTCTCTGTCCACAGGAAATGTTGGGTGAGTTCAGAACTCAGCATTGTCCAACTTCTGCGTGTTCCACGCCTTTCCTTTCCCACCAAGGACCACAGGAGGAAGAGTCTTCCTCTTCCTTTGTTCAACTGCCCTACCTCCTATTATTATCAGGGTTATCTTCCCAAGAGAGGATTTGCAAATCTAATTCTTGATTTCTGTTCTTTGCAAGGAATAATTAGGTTTACTGCCACTTGCTTGAGGATGCCCCCCATATAGCAAAGACAATGATTGCTCCAATAGTCTGTTTACACGTTATAGAGGAAGGGCTCTTGCTCTCCAGGCTTCTCCAAGCCAAGCTGGAGCAGAGCAGTGTCTGGTCTTCCCCCTCTTAGTCCCACCTCTTTAGGGCAGTGAGGAGGAAGTGCAGAATTTCATCAGTGCAGAAATCTTCTCTTCCTCTTTGGGATCAGTGGACCTCAACTATAAACTATACCCTGAAATCTAGTTATTTTCAGAATAAAGTAAACCTGGAAGTTCAGAAAGTCAGGCTAAAATGTCATTCTGTTGAATAAGTCTGTCCTGAACTTTAAAAAATATGGCTATATTTGTGCGCACACACACACACACACACACACACACACATATATTCATTATGGGTGTCCCTGGTGGCTCAGTGGTAAAGAATCCACCAGACAATGCAGGAAATATGGGTTCAATCCCTGTGTCATGAAGATCCCCTGGAGAAAGAAAAGACAACCCACTCCAGTATTTTTGCCTGCCTGAGAAATCCCATGGACAGAGGAACCTGGCGGGCTGTGGTCCATGGTGTGGCAAAAGAACTGGACACGGCTGAGTGAAGAAACAGCAACATATATGCATTGCTATATTATATTATATATATATATATATAAATAATCTTTTGCTGCTTTTTACTTGTGAGTCTTACGATGTTTCTTCTTGGTTTCTCCTCCTCTATCTGGATATTAAAGAGTATGTGGCAGGCAGATTTGGCCAAGATGACTCTCCCGGATATGCTGTTTTTCATCTCGACAAGGATTACGAAGAGGACCTCACGCTCTCCATGTTTGTTCGAACACGTCGTCCGTCCGGCTTGCTCCTAGCTCTGGGAAACGGCACTTATCAACACCTCCGTGTTTGGCTAGAGCATGGAAGGCTAGCGATGCTGACTCCAGGTTCTCCCAAATTATTAGTAACATTTGTTCTCAGCGATGGACACGTCCGCTTGGTATCTTTGAAAATCAAGCCAAATAAAATTGAACTGTATCAGTCATCAGAAAATCTAGGATTTCTTTCTGCTCATACGTGGAAACTCCAAAGAGGAGATGTCCTCTACGTTGGCGGACTCCCTGACAGGCGAGAGACTGAGATTAGTGGTGGATTCTTCAAAGGCTGCATCCAAGATATAAGGCTAAACAACGACAACCTGGAATTCTTCCCAAATTCGACGAGCAGCGCAGCCTACAATGCCATTCTTGTCAATGTGACGGAAGGCTGCCCCGGAGACAACCTGTGTGAGGTAGGATTATCCACACCGACTCTGTCCGCGCTGTGTGCCCTACTCCTGAAGGCCCACCCCCCTACCACCCCCCCCTCCAGGCTGCTACAGGGCACCAGCTTCGGGTTCCCCGCATCATCCATCGAACTGTCACCGACTGTTTTACCTACGGTAATACATATGTTTCAGTGCTGTTCTCGCAAAGCATCCCACCCTCTCCTTAATGTTTCTTAAGGTTGTTTTTGAGTGGACCATTTCTAAAGTCTTTATTGAATTTTTTTATAATATTGCTTCTGTTTTATATTCTGGTTTCTTGGCCTCAGGGCATGTGGAATCTTGACTCCCTGACCAGGGATTAAACCCAGACCACCTGTTTTGGAAAGTGAAGTCTTAACCACTGGACCATGAGGGAAGTCCCCAGATCACATGTTAACAGAGCAATGGACATAAGTGCAGATGGAGCTCTCAGAAATTCCTTTGTCAATGCTTCTGTTTTGATTACTTTGTGAGCAACATTGTGAGGACTCAGATGATAACAGTATGTTTCTGATTCAGAAGCGGGGCTCCTGGAGGGGTGGAGGTGTTGCTCTATGGGGACCCAGAGGATCTAAGTACCAGCTTCACCGTTTGGCTTTTGATAGGATCTTGGAAGGGCTTCCCAGGTGGCTCAGTGGTAAAGAACCCACCTGCCAATGCAGGAGACATAAGAGACCCGGGTTCAATCCCTGGGATGGAAAGATCCCCCGGAGGAGTGCATGGCAACCCACTCCAGCATTCTTGCCTGGAGAACCGCATGGACAGAAGAGCCTGGTGGGCACCAGTCCGTGGGGTCGCAAAGAGTCGGACACGACTGAGGCAGGCACGCATGCACACACAGGATCTTGGACGATGAAAGGGACCTCAGTTTCCTCACCAGGAGAAACGAGAGGTCAAGTCTCTAACTCAGATGATCACTAGTGTCATTGAAAGTGTTTGGTAATTTGTAAATTACCGAGACTACTATTACACCTTTGAAAATCTTCCTGGTGCTACAGGAGATCAATAGTGTATATTTTTATTCATTTCCCTTTTCCTCTTGATGGTAGCAGTAAGTTTCACCCTACTTACCAGCCAACAGATATAAAAATGTTCGCTACGTAAATAAGGAGGGAATTAGCATGAATAGATTCACAGCGTCTCGCTTGGCTCCTCTCCGCATTTAGCTGCCAGAGCTCCTGACGCCTGTGATTTCCTGTCTACGCAGCCCAACCCCTGTCACCACGGAGGCGTCTGCTACCTGCTGTGGGATGACTTCTCCTGCTCCTGTCCTGCCAACACAGCCGGGAAGGTCTGCCAGGAGCTGCGCTGGTGTGAACTCGGCCCGTGTCCCCCTAGTGCCCAGTGCCTGCAGCTGCCTCGGGGATTCGAATGTAGGTGCGGGTTGGGCTCCTTGCCACCCAGTCCGGCTGGGTGTTTCAGTTGGTCGATGAGTCGACCCAGAAGGAGAGCACAGAGACACCAGGTCAGCAGAGAAGCTTGTGGTTGCTTCCCCCAGCGTGAGGGGCGGTGTAACAGACCCAACGCGAGCGGAGCCAACCAGAGTGACCTCGTGACACACGCCGCCCAGGGTTTCAGCTGGGGGGAGATGGTGGCCATAGCAACTCCAAACCTACATCCTGGATCGTGTAAGGCTGATTTCTAGAGAAAGAGCTAGCCGGCTGGTATTTGGCCTTTCTTTCCTCCTTACTGATTATCCAGAGCGAAAGCACCAGAGTGAGCCTGTTGCCACTGGTTAGCTAGGAGGCCGCCTTGGTTCACCTGCCTCCATAATCTAAGGCTTCCTCTGTAACGCAAGGATAAAAGGTCTGCTGGACAAGCAGATAAATCTGTGTGTGTGTGTGATCATTGTATGACCTTGTGTGTAGACAGCCAAATGTGTTAAGCACTCAGTTCATGTTTGCAGTGAATATTTCCTTCAGTGGGAACAGTTTTCCTGCCCAAATTCAGTACCACTCAACAGTTTCCCAAATGTTAGCAAGCTGAACACTGTCCTCACAATTTTGACATGTCTGTGTACTGGCGACACAATGATTCATAGTCTGTCTTTTCTTCTACTTGAGACAATGCACAGTTCAGTCTGTAGCCAGCCCTTCATGTTTGGACTCAACTCTTGTCTCTGCCTCGTTCAATGATTTTGCTTCTGAAATTTTTCTCTCGCCCGCCAGCAGCATCATTAATTCTCCCGCCAGCATATAAACACACTGTCAAATCCTCGTCACAAACTACTTCCCCTGATTCCCTTGGGGGATGATCCACATGCCCCCGTCCCCGCCAGCCACCTCCCATGTTCCCGCTCCTTTCCTGGCGGGAGAACCCCTCTGGGAGCTGACCTCCACGTGCTCCTCACGTCTTACGGCCAGTGTTCTTTCCTTCACCCCAACAATCAGGCTCCCCCCACTCCCACCCCCTCCACCCTGAACCCTCCCAGCCCAGAGCCTCACAGGCTGCCTCACCACTTCATTCCCTTTCCTACCCAAATTCCTTCTTCCCTGGCTTTATTTTTCTTCGTGGCTCTTATCATCCTTGGATGTTTTGTTTTATACGTATTTGTTCACTTGCTCATCATCTTTTCCTCAATGGAATGTAAGCTCCAAAAGAGAAGGAGGTGTGCGCTCTGGTTTCCTACCTTACTCCTAGCACTTAGAATAGTGCCAAACACATAGGAGGCTGTCAGGAAATATTTGTTTAATGAATATCTGTTTTCTTCAATTTAACTCAATATTTTCACTTAACTGCTCTAGACTTAAAGTACATACAAGTCTGCATACAATTTTAAAAAATATATAAAATACCTTGTAAAACAATGAACGAAAGTAATGGTCTGGAGCTAGAGGGTAGACAGACCTCAGGGCCCTTAACAACAGCCAAGCCTGGAAGTGACTGAGGACAAGTATATATTTACTTTGATGTTTATGTATTTTAAGATGATATATCAACTTATCATGTGGTGAGTGTGAAATGTATTGCATTGTGTATATACTTGGGGAGGATTTCTTGAAGAATACACATACTCTTGTGTTTCATTTTTAAGAAATAATATGCCACACATGGGGCTTTCCAGGTGGCGCTAGTGGTAAAGGACCCGCCTGCCAATGAGTGAGACATAAGAGACCCGGGTTCAGTCCCTGGGTTGGGACGAGCCCCCGGAGGAGGGCATGGCAACCCACTCCGGGATTCTTGCCTGGAGGATCCCATGGCAGAAGCGCCCGGTGGGCTGCGGGCCACGGGGTCGCACCGAGCGGGGCATGGCTGAAGCAGCTTGGCACACACGCACGTGAACACACGCTCTACACGGGAATAAAGCAGGAGTCTGCATAAAGCATGAGATCAGGCGTCAAACATGACACAGAATTTTAAGGCCACCTTTTGCCTTGTTCGACCCTCTGAATTGCTTTCTTAAAACAGTTTACTATTTACTCATTTTATTATTACTCTTTTGCTAGAAGTACTAAAGTTGTTTGTCCCAGTTATGTTCTACAAAAGGGTTTAAATCATTCTGAATGACTTCATAGGGAAGAAAGAATAGGGTTTCTAAAATCAGTGGCGGTGTGAGAACCATACCCCAGGTGAGTGTTGTTGCCTTCTGTCTTCACGTGAAGGACTTGGACGCCTCAGAAAGGCATAGAGCACTCTTCACTGCTAGGCATTGCCTCTGTGGAAAGAGGAGAAAGTTTGCCTCTGACCTTTCACAGAGTCTCAGAAACATTTTTGACATATGATCTATCTTAATAAAGGCGGGGAGGGAAATCAGTAGGAGTGGTGAACTTTTCCTATCCAACAGGTGTCACCCCCAGATCACTTTTGCGCTGTTGCATGTGATCTCTTGACCGTATGGTATGTTTTTCCAGTGAGATGTGCTGACAAGATAGTTCTGCTAGAGTAACTACTCTTGAGAGTATAGCTGGTACATTACCCGAATTTACCTTTAGTACTTAATCATTTCTATCTTTGCATCCTATCAAAAAAGAGAGACTTAAAAATTACAACCCACCTTAGACAGAGACGTGTTTATTATGATAAAGTTCCCTGAAGGAAGGGCAGGGTGTAAATGGTTCCTGCACGGTGGTTCTTACTCAGACAGCAAGGAGTGACTCCGGCATGGTCAGCATGTCCGTGAGATGAGTTATGCGGCGTGACAGACGCTGCTCTTCCTTCAGGAGCTGGAGGAATAAGGAGGTTTGTCATGTTAACGTTTATGTTGACATGTTACATGTTAAAGCATCCAACGAGACACATCTTGCTCTTTCCCTCCCTAATCGCAACCTGGCTGGAAAAAAAAAAACCCACCACAGTCAAAAGCAATAAAATCAAGAGCAATGTTAATCCAGTCAAATAATCTGCTTGAATTTACTCATGTTGAGGTTTCTAATCATTGTCTCACTTTTCAGAATTAAGGACTGAGTTACTTTCATACATTATTCATTTAATAATATTTACTGACCATCTACTCTATGCCAGGCAGTGTTCCAGGCACAGGGCTTAGTGAGAACCTAGACAGAGAAGTTCCAAGATCTTGTAAAAGCTCATGTTCTCGTGAGGAAAGAGCAGTAACAAGTAGGAAATTTTTTATTTATTTTATTATTATTATGTATTATATATAAAATGAGTATTTTATATATTATTATATAAATGTATATTTTATATATTATATAAAGAATCTGCCCATAATGTGGGAGACCCAGGTTTGACCCCTGAGTTGGGAAGACCCCCTGGAGGAGGGCATGGCAACCCACTCCAGTATTCTGACCTGGAGAATCCCATGGACAGAGGAGCCTGGTGGGCTATGGTCCATGGGGTGGCAAAGAGTCAGACACGACTGAGCAACTAACAGTTTCACTACTATTATTATATTTTTTACTTTGTTTAATTGGATTGTTAAAGAAAATTTAACAATGTAATTTCAAATAGTTATAAGATGCTATGGAGAAAATCAAGCAGGATAATTGAAAATTCAAGAGTGGATTTGGGATGGAAACACTTGGATAGACAGGGAAACCCTCTCAGAGGAGGTAATATTTGAGCACACATTATGTTGAGGAAGAGGCGGGTGTGGGAAGAGCAGGGGCCAATATCCTGTCTAAGTAACAGAAACGGTAAAAGACATGGTTTGCGAACAAGCTGTTGTCTTCAAGAAACAGCAGGAAGTTTTTGTGGCTGTATCACTTGAACGAGGAGGAGTGGCAGGAAATGGCACTGGAGAGTCGGCCAGGGGTCGGGTCACAGAAATTCTGTCTGCCGTGTGTGGGATCTGGGGAGTCTTTCTAGATGTGATGGTAACCAGGGGGGTCTCAGGCTCAGGCGTGGTTGGTACGTTGCTCTGCAGAGCAGTATAAGCCAGAACACTGAGAAATAGCTGGGAGAGTCTGAACCTGAAGTGTTAGAGGTTGGGGGTGGTGCCCCACATGTGAGTAGAAGACAACGCTCTAAGGTCCATTTCTGCTGAAAGCTGGAAGACAATGAGAATAGAGAGTTGGGTAACACCGATGTCTCCATGACCTTGACCAGAGTGGCTTCAGTGACGTGATGGGAACCAAGGGCTCAGTGGGAGATATTAAAAAAGAAAATGGGAGATGAGAAAGTGGAGACAAGTGAATATAAAACTATTCGGAAAAAGCTTTGCCAGAGAAGGAACTAGAGAAATAGAAAAGCAAGAGGGCGGATGGAAGTCAGGGTAGGACTCGGGTCTTGTGCGCAATTGCAGCCTGTTTGTGTGCTGGTGGGAAATGAGGGAAGGGGAGGGAAATGATGCAGCGTGGGGGAGGTATGTGAGGAAACAGTGTCCAAAGAAGGTGGGAATGAAGGGGGCCCAAGGCAAGGCCGGGGCAGCTGAGCTCCGGTCTGTGCGGGAACACCTACAGCTCCCACCTGATTAGGGAAAACCCAGCGGTCGCCTCCTGTGTTTCCCCTTGACTTTGACGCCAGGACCCCAGTTACAACATTTCTGATGCCTGATGCGTGCAGGTTCCCCCTGACCAGGCAATTCTGCAGCACCAGCTGGGTGTCCTACAAGTTATCACCATTTAGTGCAACTCTGACTCTGTCTATCTGGACATAGTGTGAGGTCTCACAAGCTAAGGGCTCAGTCCTGCTAGAAGACTCCCACCCTGTTTCTGATGCCAACGGCAAGTCCAGGTTGTCGCTTGTGCTCCTGGCCAATCAGCTATAAATCTGAGATTCCCGCAGTCTTCACCTCAGTTCAGTTAATTTACAAGAGCAGCTCACAGAACTCGGGGAAACACTTACTTGTTTACCAGCTTTTGCCCCAGATGGACATGTGGATGAGGAGATACACAGGGCGAGGTCTGGGAGGGTCCCCAGTGTAGGAGCTTCTGTCCCGAGAAAATGGGATATGTGGCCGTCCCAGTATACCTGTGTTGAACAGCTTGGAACCTCTCTGAACCCCATACTTTCAGGGTTTTGTGGCAGCTTCTTCATGTAGGCATGACTAATTATTAACCCCATTTTCCAACCTCATCCTTCTCTAGAGGATGGGCTGGGGCTGAGAGTTTCAAGCTTCTAGTCATGGCTTGGTCTTCCTGATGACCAGCCTGCATCCAGGCTCCATCCAGGAACCCAAGCAGAGTTGACTCATTACAACAAACATGCTCCCAGCGCCATGCTCTCATCATTTAGGAGTTTATCAGGGTTTTCAGAACCTTGGATCAGGAACCAGGGGCAGAGAACAGTAGATATATTTTATATTATTATACAGATGAGAAGGGCAATGCATCCATTACAACATCCATATGCATCCAATGCATCCATATAAGCTCCAATATTTTGGCTACCTGATGTGAAGAGTCGACTCATTGGAAAAAATTCTGATGCTGCGAAAGATTGAGGGCGGGAGGAGAAGGGGCGACAGAGGATGAGATGGTAGGATGGCATCACCAACTCAATGGACATGAGTTTGAGCAAGCTCTGGGAGATGGTGAAGGACAGGGAAGCCTGGAGTGCTGCTGTCCATGGCGTCACAAAGAGTTGCACTTAACTGAGCAATTCAACAACAGTCCATTATAACAGAATAGAAAGCAGAGTGGATCCAGATTTGCCAGATTCACAGGTTAGGTGGAAAGTTAAAGCAGTACTTCTTTCTCTAGTTTTCCCAAGAACATATTAAAGGAGATCATAAACTGACAGTGTCAGATATTTTAAGAGATAAAACACTTCGATAGAAAAATGCAAGAAGATTGCCCCAAAGTGCTATGGTCATATGTGATCCCGAATACATGTCATACAGTGGAGCAGATGGTATGGTTGTATGATTTTGCCCAGTTCACAGAATACTACTTGGAGTTAGGCACAGATTGGTAACTAGACACTTAATTGGAGTTTGTAGATAGTAAATCAATCATTTAGAATGCTACTTTTAAGTGTCTCATGGTCAGTTTTTCAGGTGGTATTAGTGGTAAAGAATCTGCCTGCCAGTACAGAAGACACAAGAGATGTGGGTGGGATCTCTGGGTCAGGGAGAGCCCCTGGAGAAGTAAATGGCAACCCCTCCAGTATCCTTGCCTGGAAAATTCAAGGGACAGAGGACCCCAGTGGGCTACAGTCCATTGGGTTGCAAAGAGTCGGACGTGACTGAGCACACGGTCAGCTAACTCAGAAGCCAGTCTCCACTGTTAATTTACTGTGTAACCATAGCTACACTTGAGATTGCTTTGTGCTCAGTTTCTTGATGTACAAAATGGGTAATCAATGCTTTATTGGTGGGAACTGAAGTAAAATAATATTGGAATGTATTAGTGTTTCAACGGAAAAGAAATATATGACTTGGGTTTTGGTGTCAGACCATCCAGGTTTGACATTGTCTTCATTAACTATTAGCCATTTGACCATGGAAAAAATTCTGTGAGTCTCAGTTTCTTAATCTGTAAAATAGAAATGATATTAATAATAAACCTGTATTTAAGAACTTTGTATTAAAAGTAATATAAAGACAATAAACAGAGTGCCTAGCCCATATCAATCAATACATGATGGTAATAACATCTTGATCATTAGTGCTAATAAAGGTAATTAAGCAAATGAGTTTGAGCAAGCTTCGGGAATTGGTGATAGACAGGGAAGCCTGGTATGCTGCAGTCCATGGGGTCACAAAGAGCCGGACACAACTGAGTGAACTGAACTGAAGCAAATGTTACAGATTTAGTCAAGTTGCTGACTGGCACTGCCTTCTCTCTTTAGGTATCGCAAATGCTGTTTTGAATGGACAAAGCCGTGAGATAATATTCAGGAGCAGCGGGAACATCACCAGAGAGCTGACCAACGTCACGTTCGGTTTCAGAACGAGGGATGCACATGTGATCATACTGCACGCAGAGAAGGAGCCTGAATTCCTTCGTATTCACATTCGGGATTCCCGGTTGTTATTTCAGCTGCGAAGCAGCAACAGCTTTTACACGCTGAGTCTGAAGAGTCTGCAGCCGGTGAGCGACGGCGTGTGGCACCAGGCGACCGTCTCCATGACAGACCCGGGGGCCCAGGCCTCCAGGTGGCAGATGGAGGTGGACGGGCAAACGCCTCCTGTGACCAGCGCAGTCGGTGCCGGGAGCCTCGGCTTCCTGAAGGGTGGCACAGACATCTATGTGGGTGCCCGAGCTAGCGACAGCACGCGGGCCCCGCGAGGATGTCTAAGCACGATCGCCATCAGCGGCCTCTATCTCTCTTACTTTGGAAGTGTCCGTGGCTTGATGAGTAGACCTCAGGAGGGGCGGTTTCTCAAAGTCTCTGTGCGTCCGGTGGAGACGGGCTGCCTGCAGCTCGACGCCTGCCACTCCGGGCCCTGCCTGCATGGAGGCCGCTGCGAAGACACCTACGGCTCCCACCGCTGCACCTGTCCCGCGGGACGGTCGGGGCCACACTGCGAGCTCGCCATCGACGAGTGCCTTTCAAGCCCCTGTATCCACGGCAACTGCTCCGCCCCCGGCGGGGCAGCCTATCACTGCAGGTGTGAGCCCGGCTTCACCGGTGTGAACTGCGAGTCGGAGGTGGACCACTGCCAGCGTCACCAGTGTGCAAACGGGGCCACCTGCGTGAGTGACGCCACCGGCTACTCTTGCCGCTGTCCCGGAAACTTCACCGGAAGGTTCTGCAGGTGAGCATTAAGTGTTAGTCGCTCAGTCGCGTCCAACTCTTTGCAACCCCGTGAACTGTCGCCCGCTGGGCTCCTCCGTCCATGGGATTTCCAGGGCGAGAATACTGGAGCCGGTTAGCCATTCCCTTCTCCAGGGGATCTTCCCGACCCAGGGATCGAACCCACGTTTCCTCATTGCGGGCAGATTCTTTGTCTTCTGAAAGGCCAGGTGAGCATTGCACCCACATAAAGCATGTCTGGAGGTGGCTCCACACCCCCCAGTGCTCACGCGACAGGTGCACTCAGTACTGTGCTGAGCAGGGGCTCATGGCCATGGCCATGACAGTTCAGCCCCGTGAGGACAGAGTGGCACCTGCCAGCATGTTCTACAGGGTTTAGACCACACTTCAAACAAAACGTCTTCTCAGTCACCTCCGTCAGAGGATGTCTCAGGAAATACGGCCCCGGAGTCCCGAGCCTTAAGGCCGCAGGAAATAAATACAGTGACAACCAATACAAGGGCTGAATCCTGGTTTTGTTGGAGGAAGCATGACTCCTTCCCCTGATAGAGTGCCCTGGGTCGCTTCAGGCAGGTCAACTTTACAAAATTCTGAAAAGGCTATGTTAAAGTATAGTTTCCAAAATGGGAAATCATGACTCTCAGAATGAGCATGTTTTAATGACTTTGTCATGAATTAATGAGGGAACCAGTAAGATAAAAATCAAAATGTCAAAGGACCATACAATTATATACATAAATGTATACATATATATGTATATGGGCTTCCATGATGGCTCAGTGGTAAAGAATTTGCCTGCCAATGCAGGAGACTTGAGAGATGTGGGTTCGATCCCTGGGTTTGGAAGATCCCCTAGAGAAGGGCATGGCAACCCACTCCAGTATTCTTGCCTGGAGAATCCCATGGACAGAGGAGCCTGGCAGGCTACAGTCCATGGGGTCATAAAGAGTCAGACATGACTGAAGTGACTAAGCACGCACGTAGAAACATGAGACAAGTAACAGATTCCAGGATGTTGACAAGAATACCTGGAGTGGGCTGGCAGCCTGGAGACATTACAGTAGTTCAGAGGTTCACTGAACTACACTTCACTGGATGAATCCTTCACTGGATGAATCTCCTGGTAGACACACATGTAGTCACAGCTACAAGGAGATGTATTTTTGTCTCCATAATATTGTTGTGCAGAGCCTATGAAGGCAAGACACAAGGTTGACTGCTGCGTACTGACATTGCAGTAAAACGTGACTTCTCATGATTTAACCTACTCATTTGCCAACAGGTAAACTGAATGCTTAACAACAAAAGACATTCAGGATCAAAATTAATAGTACTTCTGTGGTGACTGGATAAGTAAAAGACACATATATGCCTAGGAACTAGTGCTCCAGTATTTTTTTCTGCCTAATTCATCAAAGCCAAGTTTTCAAAGATTAAAGTTTTGATTCAAAAGTACCTTCTAACAAGATTCAAAAATTGTTTATTAAACATTAAGATGTATACAAATCTTCCCATTTGCATTGCTAATTGACCTCTTCCAAAGCTGGTTGACGCTTTTGGCTCTTTTGAAAAATCCTCATGATATTTTCTTTTTAAAGTCAAATTGATTAGCTCTTGTGGGAAGAGACACACTTACCATATAGACTGCTTTCTCCATATTAGCTACAGTCTGCTGAGCAGAACAAAATAAAATTCATTTTATCTTTCTTGAATATTAACCATGTATCTGATTCCATGCACAACAGGCAGAGTGTAGTTAAGGACCTGGACACTTTAAAGTCTTTTTAACCAGCCCCTTCACACCACTGGAGTTTATCTGGTAGTAAAGTTCTGCTTAGCATCTAGCAATTTGTACTCACTTTTATAGGGACTCCTTAATATATAAAGTTGTATTATTGAACAAAAGAGCCATGCTCTGAATTCACATGTACTTTCCAGTGGGTGTTGTATACAAACCTCCTGGACAGCATTTGGCTTGCCTTCTGCTAAGTCATGAGTTATTGGATGAGGGCAGCAAGTACTGGCGGGGCAATCGGAGTTCAGCTGTGAAAGGCAGCAGAGAAATCACACGAGTGCTTGGGTACCAGAGTCCTGGCCTTTCTTTCCTGACGTTTATAGAGATGCAATTTTCCTATGGCCTGATGTGATTTATTAGCCAAGCAGCAGCAAATCTAGCCATAGCGAGTTTCCTCCCAACACTAAATTTACTGCCACCGCCGCTCCCCCCCACCCCCCGGCACAGATCTTATCTCACAAATGAGCCCTGGGTAGAAATGGAAGGCGGAGAGCCACGCTCCTTACAGCACCCTCCAGCAGCAGGACCTGTGGACAGAAGAGTGACCCGTGGACAGAGCAGCACCGCTAAGCGTTTGTAGCCCAGTCGGCCTGAGCACCTCATTAGTTTGGCTCAGACGAGACACAGAGACTTTTCTAAAACAGCGTTCTCGGATGAAATGAACAAGATGAACAGCAGTGACTGTTGCTTCTTTCTCCCTAGATACCTCCGATTGCCCTCCACCGCCTGTGGGAATGAGAAGACCAACCTCACTTGCTACAACGGTGGCAACTGCACGGAGCTCCAGGGAGAAATGCAGTGTGCCTGCTGGCCAGGTTTTACGGGGGAACGGTGAGTCGCAGCAGAGTTTCACAGGAGGGCCTTCCGGGCCGGACAACAGTGAGACAACGCGGAGTGTGTTTCTTCTCCGTTTCCTTGTCTCAGTTCCCATAGGAAAATCTGTGCTGAAGTACAGGTCTGGCCAGAGTCAAAATAAAAAAGAAAAATTACCCTCGAGGTCAAAGTCAAGGACACTTTATGAGCCAAGACTTTAACTAGGGAAATATGTCTCTGAAAAATGTGAAATGTGATATTTTTCTTTCTTAGAAATACTTCTGGATTCATGTTTCTTTCCCACTAACTCTAACACATGATGCAAATGTGGGTGTTGTTGAGATCAAATAAAATATGCCTTAAAGACTGCCCCATAGACTTACCTAGAACCCTAAAAGCATACGTACCTTATCCAGATGACTCTACTGTTCCCAGAGAAACCTTTGTCTCTTCGGTACCTAATGCTGGGATTGTTTAATGTGGAATTGATTACTGCTTTCAATCAATGGCTTACTGAAAATGCAGGCATGTTTGTATATGCATGTGACTTGCTGAGGTGAGTTCAAGGGCAAAAATGTGCAGATGTGCGTGCTAAGTCACTTCAGTTATGTCTGACTCTGTGCAATCCCACAGACTGTAGCTGGCCAGGCTCCTCTGCCCATGGGATTCTCCAGGCGAGAATACTAGAGTTGCCATTTCCTACTCCAGAATATCTCCCTGACGCTGGGATCAAACCCACGTTTCTTATGTCTCCTGCCTTGGCAGGCGGGATCTTTACCCACTAGTGCCATCTGGGAAGTCCAAAAAAGTGCACACGCCGCAGCTTTTGTCAGATTCCCACGGGGATCAGCGTCCCCAGAATGGTGACAGACCGAGGCTCTGCAAGATACACGATAACAGCAGAGAACAAATACTTGGCCATTTGTCTAGTGCTCTGCCAGGCACCCTGCAAACAGTGTCTCTAATTGTCCTTATTTCCCTTCTGCATTTGTGTAACCTGGAGCTGAGAGGTTAAGGGACAGGTCAGGTGGTGATTATTCAGATGTGTGCTGCAGCCAGGTCAGGCCACCTTCAGAGCCTCTGCCCATCTCCAGGATGTTTCTGGCATAAACGTATGACCAAATCTTTACTTGCAACAACTAAAGTAAAGGGAAAGAGTTCTCCTCCATCTCCTATACCATCCAGGGCTAGATAAACCGTTCTCTGATCAGGCTTCCTCCATTGAACAAATTAGATCAATCCAACACCTTGGACAAAGTGATTTTGACTGAATTAATTTTCCCCAGAAGAGTAGTTAGTGAAATAATGGGTATGTTTTTGCTGCATGACAACTGCAGTTTGGATTAACTTGAATTTTCTCCTTTTCAGCTTGTGCTCTGGGAACCACAGAGACACAGCTCTTTTGCCATGTTGGCAAACAGCAGGCAATGTGGCCACACCCGCATTTTTCCCCTCCAACATTCAGTGACAAGGCTGGTCCTTGCTTTCTTGGTCTGCTTTCAGTGGCTGGCTCTAAAGCGGCATGGGCAGTCGGAGAATCTGTGTGTATGGAGGGGTGTGGCCTCAAGTCACATTCTGCTTTTCACGGCACTGGTTTTTTCCATGCATGCACCATAATAATCATATTAACCCAGAGACCATTTGGTTGGCCTCCTATTCAATCTCCAAAATACTGCAAAGATTTTCTTGTCCGAAAATTTGAACAATGCTTTAACCATATATTTAAGTGCTGGTTACTTTCTGCCTGGATGGCACAGTTTAATGCTTACTGTTATTATTAAATTGATGAATTAATGTTTAATGACGACAGCATAGAACTCATCCAAAGTCTTGGATTATTTTTCTCTGCTGCTTGCACATTGTTCCTATTTACAGTAAACATTTCCCTTTCCTCCAACATTGTTTTTTTAACAGTATCTGACATTTAACCTCCAAATTGTTGATTTCAAATGTGGTAAGAAAAGCAAGCTCAACATTCTCCTTCTTCTCCCAGGAATCTTTTCACTGGGATAAACTTCTCCACTGAAAATAAATTTCTAAAATAGTCACCAGGTGTTCCATGGATTCCATCCTTTCAAAGTCCTTCCATGTCATTAGTTATTACTGATGCCAATGGATTTATTTTTTTTTTATTTTCTGCCCATTAATAACTTCTGATGAAAGCTCCAATAATGTTTATAATGATTGTTGTGTGTATACTGTGTACTGCTTAGTTCAAAAGAGAAGTAGATAAGCAACAGAGAAAGAATAACTAAAGGAAAAGCAGAAAGTACTGGGCTTCTCCCAAGGACCAGGGGGATGAGACTTCCACAAAGTCCAAAGATGCTGCAAAGCTGTCATCTAACAGACCGCCTCCTCTGCCGTGGGCTTCGACCTCTAGCTCTGAGCTGTCACCCCGGCAGGCTGTGCGTGGTGGATGCTCTGAACACTCCAGCCCACCCAGGGCAGGGAGGACTTGGCAGGCTCCCTCCGGTTGTTGAGCTCTGCTCTGCTCCAGCCAGAGAGGCCTCCCCCAGCCCGGGAGCCTGAGCCAAAGCGGGGAAACAAAATGTCCCAGCGATGCTTGGGATCCAGCGGGATAAGGAGCTGTTTTTCTGGGAAGAAATCTTTTTTTCCTTTATGCCTTGGGGAGGCCCTGTCCCACCCACCACCTCCTCTCATCATTTCTTGAGCCTGGGGATTAGTGGATTACCCAGGCGCACATGCTTACCTCTTCAGAGGTGGGGAATGAAAAACTGCTCAGACTGGACTTTACTCCTATGAGCTGCTCTGCAGAGACTCCTGAAGCTATGATTTTATATGAATTTCCCAAAGTCAGAGAGATGCCTCAGTTACTGCTCTATCCTGAGGCCTAGTAGAGGGTTTGGCACATGGCATGTGCTCAATATCTACTCAGTAATGGACTGGGGAGTTAATTAGTGAATGCACAGAAAAGCAATTTCGGTAGGTGGAAAACCAGGTGAAAAGTGACAGTACTCCAGGGAAGAGGCGAGTTTCAGTTACCTTAGAATTGGCATCACTTGTTTTTGGAAAATTTTGGCTTTTGAAAATCGTTCTTCCTGGACTTGGAAAGATTACAACCTAGCTATGAAACCAGTTTATTATCGAGTGCAATCTTCTGATTATCTACTTTGGCTTTTTGTTAAAAATGGAATCTCCAGGACTTCCCTGGTGGTCCAGTGTCTGGGACTCCGCACTCCCAATGCAGGGCGCCTGGGGTTTGATCCCTGGTCAGGGAACTGGATCCCATGTGCGGCAGCTAGGAGTTCACAGGCCACAACTGAAGGTCCCACAGCTGCAACTAAGAATCCCGCTGGCCACAGTGAAGAAGCCATGTGCTGCAGCTGGGATCTGTGCAGCCAAATGAATGAGTGGTAAACAGCCCGCCTGCAATGCGGGAGACGCAAGAGATGCAGGTTCAATCCCTGGGCAGGAAAGGTCTCCTGGAGGAGGGAATGGCAACCCACTCCAGTGTTCTTCCCTGGAGAGTCCCATGGTCAGAGGAGCCTGGTGGGCTGCAGTCCACGGGGCCGCAAAGAGCTGGGCAGGCCTTAAGTGACTCAGCACTCATGCAAGCATTATATATATATATAATGGAATTCTCAAGGAAACTAATCCAAAAGCCCCCAGAATACACCAAATACATTGTTCTACTTCTTAGGGGCGTCTCCCCTTCGCCGGGCACACTGATGCTTTAGAACCCTCACGGTTCCGACGGAAGTCTGCTCTGTAGACGCTCGGCTGGAAAAAACACAGCTCCCTCTCCTGGTCCCCACGTACCCCCAGTAAACCCAGCTTTTACAAGCTGGCAACCACACCAACGCGCTTGAGGGGGAAATTGAAACTGACTTGTGCATGTCTCTGTTTTGCTTCGGTTTCTAAAGATTTGCACCTGTTTTCTCTTTCTAATTAACATTGCGTGTGTGTGTGTGTGTGTGTGTGTGTGTGTGTGTACACATTATTTTCATTAAAAGCAAAATCCGTGAAGGCATTTGGAGGGCTATCTCCCAGCTGTTGGGCACGCAGGAAAGGCGCGGGGATTGGCCGGTCCCACCGCGCTGGTCTGGATGGGTAAGGCCGAAGCTCCCGCTCTCTGTTCACGTCGCAGCCAGCGTACTGAGCCGGGGCCGGGTCTCTGTTGTTTGTGTCTTGAAGGTGTGACATGGACATCGACGAGTGCGCGTCCGACCCCTGCCTCCACGGCGGCCTCTGCCAGGACCTGCGGAACGGGTTCCGCTGCGCGTGCGCGCTGGCCTTCGCCGGGCCGCGCTGCGAGCTGGACGTAAGCGGCCTCTCCCTCTGCGTCTCGCTGCTGCTCTGGCAGAACCTCTTCCAGCTCCTCTCCTACCTCGTCCTGCGCCTGAATGATGAGCCCGTGGTCGAGTGGGGAGACCAGGACGATTACTGACCTGCGTCTGAGCGCTCCCAAACCTGAAACCGCGACTTTCAGGATATGCCTTGAAATTTAATCATCTTGAAAACTAGGTTCAAGGCCTATTTTAAGCATGTTGCAAAGCACTTTACGAGTTTAGCAAATATTTACTTACTCTTGGCTCTAAATGCAAAGCAGTGTTGTTCTCAGTACAAGCAGAAACGCCTCCTTTTCGAGAATATTGAGTACAAACACGCCATCATTCTAAGCGCGTCTGTATCTGAAGGACCCTTGGAGTGAGATAATGCTTTCCCCCACACCTGCTCTTGTGGGCATTTTTATAGTGTAAGTCACCCTCCCTCACCCTCATCCTCGGTCAGTCTTGTCCTTTCATTCTGTTATTCAGGACACAACAGTTTGAAAATTACTGATTAATTTTTTTTTATCCACCTATGCTGTGTTGCCAGTTCTCCGGTAAGTTTAAAATATATATAAAGGGAAAGTGGGGAATCCCGTGAACTCCCTGAAAATGTAGAAGGAAACTTTTCTGATATAATTGGTATCAGTTCTCAAGTTACTCCTTACCAGTGTAGTTTATAATTCCATAAAACCTTTCTTCCTCAGAAAAAATGACAGATAAAACCTTTTTTATTTCTTTTTTCCTGCAGTACTTTCTATACAAACAACTTTTTGTTAATTGCTTATAAATTTATGAGCTTATTGACCTTCCTATCAAATTAACTAATCGCAATTGTTTTTAATACATATTTTAAAAAGAAATACATTCTTTTTAATACAGTATATACCTATTCTCTAGGTATATACTGAAAAGACAATTTGAATTTCTTGGAGGCCTAGTTTTCTAAAATTTTCAAGTAAATTTATTCCCTTCAACTATATTTCTGAAGAAAAAACATACTACCTATATTATAATCAAAAAATATTTGGCATTATGTTTTTTCAATAAATAAATACCTGAAGTGATCGATTTACCAAGTAAATTAATAAGGTATGCAGAGATTAATATACTCTTGCTTAGCTTTAGTACAGTATATAACATATTAATTAGAAAATAACTTGATTTACTAGTATTTTTATTGCTTCCACTGACTTGCTGTCGTTTATGCTAAGTATCTTTGTGTGGATATCCCTTCCCAAGGAGCCATGATTAGTGTTCATTTAAAGGGAAAATAGGTTGATCTTATGAATTAATTCAGAAAGCAGCTATAATAACAAAGGCCTGCCAAATATCATTTTGTAAATGCTTCTGTGTCTTTAGGAGTCTCTCTGGTTTAAAAATGTGAGGGTGTTTTATCCATTGGGTGGTATCCAATACTCACTTAGTTCCTTTTTTTTTTTTTAAGAAAATTGTTTTCCCATGGAAATTACCAGGTAAATTTAAATATAGCATGACATCAAAACTACAAAGTAGTATACTATAAAAGCAAAGGAAATAAACTCCATCTTATTTTTCAATAGTTATAGAGGATTTTATGCAGCAAATTTCTATGCTGTGGAGTGCTGGCAGACACCGAACTAGAGAAACTCATGTTGAAGTTTTCTTTCCTTTCTACTCCCTACTCCCTCACCCCCAGACAGCACATGCTAACCCACCATCTCAACTGATCCTCTGCAAAGTTAGATTTCCCGACAAGAGACTTGAAGGAACCCTTCCTATCAATATTTGCATTCCCAAATTATCTGAAGTAACCATAAAACTGATTATAGCCAAAGACCACACGTACAGTTTTCACATCTACTCCCTCTTGGGCATATCTATAATTACGTACTTACAGGTCATTCCAAATATAACATGTTTCCTTCCAGCTCTATTTCTGAGTCACTCACCATTTCTTTCTCCATACACTTCTAGCGCCTCTATGGTCACTGTAATTGACAGTTGTTTTTCTGTTTCCCAGCGTCTTGTCATATCTGACTTAGAAACCCTGTCCTTCTTCTCTGTCTTGTGTATTTTCAGTTGCATTGTGTGTGACTACAGCTTTTGCACATTTGCACAGAAAAATAAAACCATTGTTTCTGTATCTCTACTCCTCATCTTCTGATATCTGTCTTTATTTGCCTTCACTGTGTCTTGCATGCTAAGATGGCCACAAGTCTGGTGCATGCTCAGGTACACACACACACACACACACACACACACACACAAACAACCACGTAGCAAACACAGAAGAACCTGTGCTGATCACCCTGAATTGTGGTCTTTTCCCCCAGACATGTTCCTGCAGGTAAGACACCTGTGCCCGTCTAGGTCAGAGTTCCACGTACATTCCCTCTGTGGCGGACATTTCTCTAGCTGGGATTCTCAAGTTGATCATCCTTAAGTGTTCTTGCTGGGGATGTGCAGTGTCCCTGATTAACCTGGCTCTTGAGAAGGGGCCATCTCACCCGAGTGACAGAAATCCACACAGGCCCCTCTAGACCCCGCCTCCGAAACAATAACCTGCAGTGGTTGAGTTAGAAATGTTTCATTTTGCTCATTTTTAAGGTTCAGCATTTGAACTAAATGAGGCTATGTGTCTATTTTTGGCCATGCCATTTCCTCCTGTGTGTGGAAGTGGTTTTTATCACCCTTCTTTTTGGAGAACAGGGAAAGTTGAGAAAATAGGGACGTTTGGAGACTTCAGTGTTTTGACAGCACAGAAAGATGAATTTAACACTTCCGAGAACCTTCTCTGGGCCAGGCATTGTGATAAACCTTTCATAAATACATATTTTTCACTGTAAGGGCAACCAATATCTCTCACCTTCCAAATTATTCACTAAATTGTGTTTAAAGATCTCTTTGCCATATCTGAGCATTATAGCAGAAGTTATTCAACTTTAATTTTGCACAATTTAAATGGAGCCTTTTGTGGGAATGGTGATACATAAAATTTGAGTTTAGTGATTTAGGAAGAATACCAGTGAAGAGACTATGAAAATTATTCTCAACTACCAAAATCATTAGTAATATGGACTATTTCACTTCTCAACTTTATTTTTTTTTATTTATTCAACAAATGCCTGATAAATACCTTCTATGTGCTGTGCCCTGGACTAGAGAATTCGACTGTAGATTAGATGCAGCACATGCCCGCAAGCTGAGGGTCTCATTGGGCATGTAGATCAGCAGGGGAGGAGCATTCCTGGGTCAGTGTCGGGATGGACCCAAGAGGGGTACAGAAGAGGGACGTTGTTACCTGGGCTTCAAGGCAGAAGTAGAAGCAGTGACAGATTTTATTTTCTTGGGCTACAAAATCACTGCAGTGACTGCAGCCACAAACGATGCTTGCTCCTTGGAAGGAAAAGCGGTGACAAACCTAGATAGCATTTTTAAAAGCAGAGACATCACTTTACTGACAAAGATCTGCATAGTCAAAAGTTTTTCCAGTAGTTATGTACAGATGTGAGAGTTGGACCATAAAGAAGGTTAAGTGATGAAGAACTGATGCTTTTGAACTGTGGTGTTGGAGAAGATTCTTGAGAGTCCCTTGGACTACAAGAAGATCCAACCAGTCCATCCTATAGGAAATCAACCCTGAATATTCACTGGAAGGACTGATGCTGAAGCTGAAGCTCCAATCCATTGGCCACTTGATGCGAAGAATCAACTCATTGGAAAAGACCCTGATGCTGGGAAAGATGGAAGGCGGGAGGAGAAGGGGACGACACAGGATGAGATGGTTGGATGGCATCAATGGACGTGAATCTGAGCAAACTCCAGGCGACAGTGAAGGAAAGGGAGCCTGGTGTGCTGCAGACCATGGGGTCTCAGCGTCAGACACGACTGAGCAGCAATGCCACCCTCAGAGTGCACCCGCGCTGTTGTAAATAGCAGGATCTCCTTCATTCCCATGACTACGTCGCTGCACAGCGGGTCTTCTTGGCTTCGCGTGAGATCTCTTGCTGAGGTGCACGGACTGCGGTTGTGGGGCGCAAGCTTAGCAGCTGCTCAGCGTGTGGGATCTTAGTTCCTGAGCGCGAACTGAACCTGCGCTCCCTGCATCGCCAGGCGATTCTTAACCACTGGGCATCAAGGAAGTCCCCACAGATCATTTTAGAAAGCAAGTCTCCGTGTTACAAATCGGTTAACTCACCAGAAGACTCAAGGTCAATAATGAAGCTGATCACACCATGTTAACTATTATTTTCTTGAGTTATTCCTGTTGGTTTTTACTCAAGAAGAACTTTTAATATTGGTTCATCGATTAAAAATAGAGTCGTGATTAATGAAACAAAACAGTTAGTATGCAAGTGAATATCATGATGTTGTCTAGTTGAACATAACGTGAATTTAGTTTCTCCCAATTTTTTTCAAGAATTGAATGTGTAGATTCCTAAATGGACTTTCTTCTTGACTGACTTACATTGGTTTTGGGAAAAGAGGGTGCAGCTCACTGAATCCATTGCTGATCTTTTTTGTGAAAGTAAATGTAGAAAACTGGGCACACTCCAGGGGATTTTATATTTGAACAAATTGAAATATCAAGAAAACTGACTTGAAATTGGTACTGGTTTTTAATATTTTTATACTTGAAACTTTTGTGATTCATATATGTATTATATGAATATTATTTTCCTAAGCTTGATAGAAATAGAAAGAATTCTTTCCTTCTAAAAGGGCATAAAGATCATGGCTCTAATCTTCTCACATTGTAATTACTGAGTCACAGATTGTTTCGTGTAGTATGGAAATCTATTGGAAACTAATTGTATAGAGGAAATATAATATAGTAGTAATATAATATATACATAATATCTATGTAATATATATATAATATATATAATAATATAGTAGTAATATAGCTCCTCTGAAAACAAATAGGCTATTTGCAATGAAACATATTTAATTATTTGGAATACAATCATTTTATTGTCTGCCTGACTTTAGTTGCACATAAAATTCTGAA